TCCTCTATTCATTCGACTAACTTCCCATTAGTTATCTCACTACTGAATTGTCTTCATTAACCTACATAAGTGCAGGTGTAGAGTTTTTGTTATGATATTAAAAAAGTCTGAGTAAACATACCTTTGTTTTATCCATAAACGTTTGTGCAAAGCCGTTGTTCGGCTTTGAACAAGAATATTTTCTGTTCCGCTCCTCGTCCCGTTTTCTTTATTCCTCTTTTTTCAGAACCTTATTCCAATCCACATATATTAGTCTGGATATTTGCAGTAGACTTGGTTACCCTACCCAAGAACATGTGAAATCATTAGCTGATGAATATCAACCAGACCTTTCTACATTTACTGCATCAATTCTTGTTATATGAAAACCTATCTGTACCATGAATCGTTTCTCAGACCATAAGATGATTGTCGTAACGCAACCTTCGTCACTTGCGCTAATTATTCGCATTGTACATTCCATCTTGAAGAATACAATGAATCTTGTGAAATGTTTCAGTAACTGTATACCGTTTCAAAAGAAATAAGTTGCTAATCTTAACATTTTGATCTTGCCTGTAAATTGGCATGTCTCTTGTAACATGTTTGTTATTTGAGAATAAATTATTATTATTATTATTACTTTCTGATCCCATTCTAAGGACATCAGAAGCCTCATTCTCACGTCCTTGTCAACAATGCGGGTCATCTGCATCATTTACGGATGAGGCTACGGTCTCACTAAACATGTTTCCCTAGAACCTCCAGGGCGTCGTCGGTTGAAGAACAAACTTATACTCCTCCATAAAATTATATATATAATTGTGCCGTAAGTGATCCAATACGGAAAAAGAAAACTGAGTAAACATAACTCTAATTCGAAAAGTATCTTTTGAGTCATCACTTAGTTTGAAACGAGAATACTTTATTATGTGCCCGTCGCTCTTTCTATTTATCTTTTTTATTAACCCCTTTATCACACTCCTCTAAAATTAGCTTTGAAATTGCTGAGGGCTTACCTAAAAGCTTGTCAAATTATTATCTGCCAAATGCTCTCGAGCAGATTTAACATCCGTCTGATTAATGCTGGTAATATACTGCCCTGGATTGGACTTGCATTGATTTATAACCAGCACTTACTCGTCTCCATGCATATTACATAACTCGCACCAACCAATGTATTTGACAGGGTCCAAAACATCTAGACTTTAATGTGAAAAATATTAGCCCTCTATAAAAAGCCAGTCTATCTTGTAAAATATTTGTCTAATTGTACAACCTACATAGTAAATGTGTTAACATTTTTAACATTTTGATCTTGCCAATAAACTAGCCTGGCTCATATAACGCATCGCTATTCGAGAATAAATTATTATTATTATTCTTAAGTGGTTCTTGTGTTGAACTCTGATAGACTTCACTCGGAAATTGTGTAGCCCGCAAAGAATAATAATAATAATAATATATTTATTCTCAAATAACTACGTTACAAGAGTAACGCCAGTTCACAGGCTAGATCGGATTGTCACAAATCCTTTCACAACTACTGTAAAGTTATAGCAGTTAAATTAAATGTAAGAGTCAGTTTCTGATTTACATATTTACACCATGTCACTGACAGAAACAGTATAATACAGCCACATTTTCAATAGTAGAGTACAAATAAGGAAGGAAGGTGCATAATAGGTTTTTTGGCGATTTGTCGAGATCAATAGTGAATTGGTTGGGAAAGGTCAAATGGAACGCGCTTGATACGAGCTGTGATCCAGTCATGTACATAGGGTGCATGTTCGCTAGAGTCGCCAAGGATTTCCCACCGTGAATGGGGTTCTGAAAAGGAGAAGAGAGAGAGAAAAAGGCAGCAGTGTGGCAAGCGTATATATATAACCAAAGCACTACTTAACCTGTCATGTTGAAGTAGTCAATACAGTAGTAAGTCAAGATAAAATTCATACTGACCACTTTAATTAAAGTAAATTATGGGAATATAAGAATATAACACACAGATAAAGGAGTGCAGCAATAAGAAGGAAGAGTTGTGCAGTGTCAGGTGGATAGAAGAGAAGTCGAAGTAAGAAGCTGGATTTATGTACGTTGAAATCGAAAGAGTAGAGTTTGTAAAAAGAGAACTTTGATGAATAAAATCACGCACTGTCTAACTGTTTTTTTTATTATTATTGAATGCCAACCTCTAAGTCATACTGAAAGCGCCTGAGTACGAATGTTGCGGGTGTCTCGACAGAATATCGACCTCAGCATAGTTTTGGAAATATGAACCACAGAAGTAGCAAGCATATAAGATCAACCTCAGTGTAACAGATTAGTCGTCTCATTAATCTAAAGAGCCGAAAGCAAACAAAATGTTCTGCCCCACAAACATGGGTTGTTTGAAGTTATCGCCCACACCATGCATGTTTGCTGGTCAGTAACTCCACCCTCATTCCTTTTGTGTTGTTAGACTCACGTTAAATGTTTAAAAGAAACTATTGAGTTCTGCTTGGTGCTCTATGTCTCACATCCTGTTGAGAAACACTATTTCTGCAAGTTCCTTTCACAAATTTGTCTAGCTGTTACAACTTATGAACTATTGGTTAGTCATCAATGCAATACAGTTAACAGTTATGGAGAAATAGTAAGGATTTTCAAACAAGATATGAGCATTCAGAATGTAGTGGGGGGATGTACTTAATTAGCTAAGCAGGAGATATAAAGAGTATCACGGTTAAAAGTGGAGCAATAGATAACACTAAGGGATCAAGGTAATTCAATAGCGTGTAAGTGAGAACAGTATAATTGATAATAGGCAATGTGAAACTCACACAGTTGTAAGTGTTGATGAGGTTGCGCCCAGGAGAGTAGAGTGCATTCTAATCAACCAGTTTACAGTTGAACAGTGTTGATCGACCCAGCGAATAGAGTAACCTGTCTATTTCAAATAAAAACTAAAGAGATTTATATTCAACTAGAAAAATTTTAATGCTACTTGGGAGGGTAAAAATAACTAAATAAGCCGCAGCACTGAGTTCATTGTATTTAAAGTGGATGCGAGTGAGTTCACGAGTGCAGAAGAGTCAGTGCAACTGAGAGCATCATTAGGAAGTTGAACAAACTCATGTAACCCACTTGCCATGCGTATTTTTGAGGGAAGCCTATTCCATATCAGTGCATACTTAGAGAGGAAGAATTTTTCTCGAGTTTTGGATCTATACTTTTCAAGTATGACCGTAGATACTTTATCTCGAAGGTTATGTGTACAAGGGCCATGGATAAAGACTAAACTGCAGGAGGAATATGTGAGCTTGTGCAGCAGTTTAAAATAAAGGATCAGATTGAACTTAAGCCTTCTTTTCCATAATGGTTGGATAGTCGATGGGTGAGCTATGATTTAGGACTTTACGAGTAAATTTCCTTTGTATTCCTTCAAGCTTCAACATATCAGACAGGCGTAAGTTAGAAAATAAGAATGAGCAGTATTCAGCAATAGGTCTTACGCATGTTTTATAGAGAATTGTTCTGGATTCTCTATGAAGGAAGTTACGAAAGATGAAACCAAACATTCTTCTCATTCGGGAAACTTTATTGGAGATATGTTCGGAGAAGTTGAGGTTGTGCGAACAATGCACTCCAAGATCAGTTACGGATGGAGAAGGATTTATTGATTGGACTCATCTGATACTGAGCCTAACCTTATCTTAGCGCTCTGGAACATAGGTTCCTTGCTGGTTTGAACTGTCTGTTGATGCTGCCGTCACTAGTTCGTTCATATTTTACCCATTATCACTTTTTAGGCCTATGCACTCCAAGAGTGTGACTACTTCTGACAGTGCGTTCCTCGTAATTTCTGAGGACCACTGGTGAGACAGACTGGTTCGCAACACGGAAGATCTTGCACAATAAGAGATCTCAGGGGGTTTGGCATTATACTCAGGGTGCACTTCCCAGTAAATTCGTCAGAGAATGTTCTTTAAAGCTGATGCATCAAGCTGTTTGAAGTTCCAACGCTTGCTGTTAGTAGAATGTTTTAGCTAACTTTAGTCGATGAAGCTAAAGCCTATAACAATGTCGTAGATTTTCCTCAGTGGAGCCACGACAGAAAGATTGTAATTCAGGAATTCTGCATTGGTGTGTATGCGGTTCCAGCGGAATGGTGTCTGATTATATCTCCACCAAACCGTTGACTTCATATTTTCAAGATACACCAATTCTTCAGTGAGGTGAAGAACCGAGCTACAGTAGAATTATTAGCTACATTGTATGTGTGGTCCGTAAAGTTGACCTTAAGTAAGATCGGAGATCCTTCATCCGAGATATGAGTGTATCCGAGAATAAGAGAGTAGAATGTGATTGTAATATTAAAGTTCACTGGTAGATTTTTTGTAGATGACTCCAGCTGGACATCCTGAGATGTTAGATAAAACCAGTGAGCTACCTATAGAGTCATCAAGATTATCTAACTCCTGTGTGTAAAGGTGAATTCCTACCATTCAATACCGTAGGTACAGGGCCGTCATGCCTCCCATTCCAGTTTTCTAAGTGAGTGGTCCATGTCCTATGACTTTTTCGTGTTTGACAGTCAACAGGTGAAGTGGTCAGCTCCATTTTCTTTTGTGGTTAGTTCATGCATCATATGAACTATCCGGATGCATGCGAATTCCAGCGGGCAATCCGTGTCGACTGACACGAAATGCTTTCTATTCGCAGCCGTCATTTAGGCAGAAGAGAGTCTTATTTTCAGTAATCGGGGTCTAGATTCCGCGATATTCTTGGCTAGCCACACAAACTGTTTGTTCGATATACTCTCAGCCTCAGGGACTGTTCATAAGCTTCCACTTTTTAACATCGTCGATTTCAAGGGTAAGGTCAGCATAGATTCAATGGATTAGAAACAGAACTTTTGCTCCAAGAAGATACACTAGTGATGGTCAATATAGGTCTCAACAAGCCAAAGCCTAATCCTGAACAACCTTATTATCGAAATTAATTAGTTTACATCTGCTCGTCACAATAATATTGGACATTGTCTGCATTAGCGGACTTTGCTGATCCTTGGGACTAGCGGGATAATCGATGAGGTGGGTCAGATGCAGACGAAATTTCGCCGAGCCGTTAGCCGCAAAATAATTGAAATCGCTCTGATTAGACTATTAAAGATAAAATGTTTACATAAAACCTAATCTCAGTTGAGAAAGTTACGAACTGGTTGAATGAAGAGTGACGTAAATAAAGACCGCATCTTATCTGAAGAGCAAACAATTTAGTGTGAATTTTAGCACAAATCGAACCGTTTGGTCGGAATTTTCGGAAAAAGTAGACATTTATGGCAAGACAAAGGTAGTAATTTCAAAACACTTCCCCTCTATGCTGAAATTCTAGGGAGAAGTTGCACCATTTTCAATGGGCTCGGTAAAAAACGGTTTGACTCATTGACTTTTATATTGAGACCAAATATATTGAGATGTCTCTCCTATATTGGCCTTTATTTTCTGTTTGTTTACTTGGGTGAGATACAATTCATGAACCTAAGTGAGGATATGATTACCATGAGGAACTGAATTTCAAAATGTAGTTCTGACTAACGAATGATATCAAAAAATAAGCTTTTAATTTCACTGCGACTAAATATGTAGGACAGGCAATAAATTAATTCACGTGAGACATACTACCTACAGTTTGTGACTACGAAACCCTGAGATCTTTGTGCAACCTGATGCCGCTTTGAATGCCATAAATCAATATCTCGACCTCTTGTTAACGGGCCTTAATATTAAAGTTATAATTCATGCATTAAAGTAATAAATGCCTTTCATTGTAATTAACCTACTCACATACCATTTTGATCTAGTAATCCGAAGCGTCGAAGGTCTAATGTAGAATTTTTGGACTTGAGTAACATTATTGAATCCCCACCCGTAAATTTCAATGATGATCAGAATATCAGAAGGTCCAAAAGACTTCGTCTCAATCCTACCTACTCATCAAACTTTGAAGGTAAAGAGCTTCTAAAACCATCCACAGCAACTAGACGGAAATCTTTGAGACACCCACTAAAGCAAGTAAGTATTTTTAACACATCAGTGAATTGCTCTGTAGTTATTTGTCTTTCTAGGTGTTATTGATTGTTAACTCAAACTGAGTATGATAATAACTTCGAATATCTCATCTCTATGCCATCGCAAAGTTCAAAATTACTTTGAAATATTTCCAAATGTTATCCGGCAGTGTAGCTCAGGGGCTGATCGAGACCATACAAAGTTGTCTGTAGCCACTGAGTTGTGATCTCGGTAATGTTGAAGTTGCAATAAAAAATATAAACCCAGCTAACTTGTGATTGATAATTTCCCGTTCTAAATCTGTCCCGTTTACAAAATTGAAACGATAGTAAAAATAATTTGTGGAAGTAAAACGATATTTAATTTACCCCTCAAAACTAAAACGTGAAGATAATAAAACTCCAATAATAGCATTCAAAAATCAATGGGTAGAGTCAGTTCCCGATCATATTGAAGTTTTTTATTCTTGTCATTGTAAATAGTGTTTGTGTCCACGTTTAGGTGGATTCTTTCTCTGTTTACCCATTTCGGTTGATTAATGCTTGTTAAACTCATCAGTTTGCTATGACTAATTTGTCTTCCAATACTTATTTTGAAACATAAATTCCATTGTTCTATTCTCCTAGTCATAGTTATTCATCTCATGCTAAGTTAGTTCCGGGTGCTTTTCATTCATTCTTGAGTACAATAGGTGTCTTAATGCTCATTCCATATTGTTATTATTCTTTTAATAATCGATTCCTAACTTATTGCTTAGTCCGAAATTTTATTTTATATTCAGTTGCATTCGCATAATATTACATCCACCGATCCTACGCAATCAGCAGATCAAATAAGACCTGATCTACCACCAATGGATTTCAGTTCTATCAATACTATAGCATTTGATAATCTCTCAATCTCATCACCAAACAAGTCAGAAAATACTAAACCATATCATCAAAGTCCTTCATTTATTCCCGAAGTTGTTCCAGATTTTTACCTCTCTAAAAAATATGTCCCTCCTAAACACAGAGGGTTAGCCACAATAATTGAAAATTCTGTTGAACGGAATCAACGACGTCCTAGATCGGCTAAAGTTTCTCCAATAAGACGACAAATATTTACAGGTCAAACTCTTGAGGAAGCTTGTACTCCTACAGCTGCTGGTATTGCTCCACTAGACCCAGAACTGGTGTTATCAACTGCACGTAAGCGTGTCATCAGGCGTCAGAAGCTTGCAAAAAAGTTAGGGTTTCGTGGCATCAGTATATCCAAGGAAACTGAAGAGAACTTTGATAAATTTATCTCACAATCGAATTTAAATTCTTCTCAGAGTAGCTCGGCATCTCTGTGAGTATACATGTAATCTTTTCGCATTAATCTCTTCCAGCTTATGTATACCTACGTCTTTCAATTAAATATCAAAATTCACTCCGTTTTATATACAGATTTTATTCATCCCTTCATATGACACGTATTTTCACTAGTGATAACGTGAAAGTCTTATACACATTGGTTGCAAAAAACATTGTAAGGACCTTATATTTCATCACCATTATCTTGCATATAATATCATACGGTGTAGATTTTTTTAATACAGACCAAAATCTGGGACATTTTATGAAGCATTATTTATTTTTAACATCATCTTTTTAGTTGTTTCAAAACAATAAATGTCGTTACATTTTTCTCAAGAAACTTCTAAACTTAAACCGTGCCTCAAATATGAAAAAAAACAGCATGTTTTCACGAGTCATTTTTATCTGTAAGTTTTTATCAGGTGATATGACGGGAGTATTGGATACCTTTCTATTCGCTATATTATATATAGCGACCAGTGGGTTACCGAGTTTGTACTATCACTGAATTGGATACTTAGACATTATGCCACATAGAGACCAGATCATGTTAAACCAGACAAACCACTCATGACCAAAATTAAAGAAAAAACCAGAGTAAGCTATATACAGTATTTTTATTTTATACAATTACAAGCAGTTACACTAAATGAAGTCAATAAGAGAGTAAAACCCCGTTTAATTGTCAGTAGGGTGTGCCTATTTCTCCACACTGAACAATCACATTTTCTTCTCATTACCACACATTACTACAGATTTTAAAATGATCATTTGCGAGTAGCGAAATCAAAAGAAAGTATGAGGGAAATCTTAAAACCATACCACATTATTGACTTTCATGTAACTCATTATTTCTATGGAATAAATGGATTGTGTGTAGCCGAGAAGTCTTAGACGTGTGGTGCATCCTATTCAGCTGGATATACTTACATCTTTGTTCATATTTATATTGGTACTCGAGCCCAACGCACTTCACTTTAAATGCTAATGCGTTATCCACAGAGGTACTGAGTCTGGATAGTCAATTGCTTGCTTATATGTCGACAAAGAACAAGCAAAGCCCAGCCCTACTTAATAATAGTGGTATCATTTAAAACCCTACTAGTAGTAACTCATTCAATTATTTCTAAGTATGAACTGACTTACTATTATGATGAGATCGTTTGTATGCATTAAGCCGGTGCACATCATGTTAGCATATACAGGCTCACTAATTAGAACCTTCTAAATAACCTTGATCTATGGGTAAAGACGTTGATAGGACGCAGTCCCACCCATCTTATCTTCATACTTTTCATTCGTTGGTCTCATTATTTTATCTACAATTTCACTATTCCAATCGCATTTAGTATTATCCTATACTGCATATATTAATTCCCCTTCTTTTGCTGATACACATGTTACAGCTGTTTGATATCATAAGCACATAATAAATTAGTATTATAATGAATAAAATATATCGTGCCTTGTTTCAAACACGACGTATACACCGATGACTGTCAGCGAACCAAACTACTTTGATTAGTTTTGATATGTTGGACAAATGTTCATAACATGGATTGTGTATATACTTTCAAAAATTTCGTGCAATAAGAAAATCATAGTCGCGCTTTCCTGCCTAGATATTTTTTACTTGTGGTTCTTATCTATTTAAGGTTGTCGTAGTTCTGATTCCTAGTTTCAATGCAGCTGCGAATCGCGGAAATGGTTCTGTTGATAAAATATCGTTTGAAAGAGCACGCTTATCACACCGATCAGTTGTCCAAAAGTACCTAATAGCAGTTTGAGTAGAAATACAAAACAGCCATTTTAAATTTATATAGTCCATCAAAATATTGTTTTTGTAAATGTACAACAACTATCAGTGTGTAAGATTCTAGCATCAACCCGTATGCCCAAGTTGCGGTTGCTGAAAAGTTACTAACTGATGGGTGGATTTCTTTTTCCAATAATTTACAGGCATTTTGAAATCATCACGTCTGTACAACATGTTATTTGGTTGAACTTGTTTAAAACATAGGACGTGTACAAATATGCATTGACTCAAATTACCATACTATAAACATAACGAAATGAAATTCACAAGATGCGCAGTGTCGTGGTTGGTGTAATCTTGTAACAGTGATAATAAGAAAGAATTGTAAGTGGGTTCGAAAAGATGAAAGAAAAGGTATATGGGTATCATCATAAACAGCAACGTAGAACTTAGCACTAAGTACAGCAGTTCAAGTTGCCATACCACGTTAGCACAGAGAGAATTTTCAATTCAAATCCCATAGTAGTAGAGGTAGTAAAAGTATTAGAAGTAGTCGAAAAGATTAGGTTTCGAAGATGTTGTTCAAGAAGTATAATTCAGTGAGGTAAATTTATAAATAGAAAGATCAAGGTGATTAATTCAGAAGGTTAGAATTTCATAGAACACAGAGTAAATGGACCTGCGCCATTGAAAACGGTTTTGAGCCATGTCATTCAGGGTCTCTAACCATCGGTGACTATCGTCTCGCGGACCCCAACCGATATCTACCAACCTGACTCAGTCCACTTGTCAGTAACTTCATGGATTTGTGCCATGTTTTGGTTTGGTCCCCCTAACTTTCTTCCAACCTATCCCTGCACTACAAAACAAAGCTCAACGAGGCAGTCGGTTGCTAGGCATACGCAGCACATGTCCCAACCACTTCAACTGATGAAGTTTCATTACTTCATCTATTGACCTACCATCCTTAACTAGCACCCATTTCCTAACGCCAGCATTACTTACTCGGTTGTCCCACGATACTCGAGCAATGCTTCAGAGACACCTACGAATATCGTCTACTCTAACTGGCATGTTTCACAGCCATAAAGTAGGACTGGGCGGACTACCGCGCAGTACACTCGTCCTTTAGTCAGCAAACGGATATCTCGCCTGCGCCATAAGTGATGCAGGTCGGCAAAAGCCAATCGAGCCTTCTGTATCCGTGCCGAGATTTCGTCAGTCACCAGGCTATCAGCACTGATAAGACTCCCCAGATAAGTGAAGCGGTCGACACGCTAGACCACTTCTCTCTCTATCACTAGTTCAGGTGGCGATGTAACCCTTTCTTGAAGCAACATTTTGCATTACTTGAAGATGCACACTTACGCCGCATGTCTGAAAGATCAACTGAGATTTCATAAGGCATCAACACATCATAGCTGATTAGACTTTGTTGCACCCGACTACCTTACTCAGTACACAATCCTGTGTGGATTTTTGAAGCATTTGCATCTTTAAGAAACATTACCACCGTGTACTAGGATGCAGAGAATTGTACCAAACATTTTCGTAAATTCAGTGGTATTATACTGACAAGAATATATGATTCGAGCGACTCTTCATCGGTTCGATGGCTAATATGTCGGACAGTAGTAAAATGGAGACTCAGAGACCCACTCCTTAATGTAGTTATAACTCAAGAAAATCTCTCGAGATAAAAGATCTCAGCGTACGAATAGCTCATTTCAGTAATCTTTATTAAGGCGTTAAAAATATCTTGTCTGTATAATCACATTATTAATAGGAGACTAATAAACTAAAAGTCCTTTAGTCACAATGAACCTATCTAGGAATTGATTTATCTTAGTTACTTTCAGCGGAATAATTTCAGCATGATGAAAAGTAGTTACGAATCCTGCTGTTTACCCCTGAGGTTATTTTTACAGAACCTTAGCGTTAATCTAGATGATGTTTTCAATATATTGCCGATGGGTGTCCTCAAGATAAGGCAGCAGAATGAGAAAACCAGTACAGCTTTACATTTGAAGAGTGGGTTCAATTAAAATACACCAGTTTGTACAGCGAGTTGTCTATCAGTAACAGGAATTCCCGATAGGAGCTTGGTACATATACTCTTTTCCTGTCTCCTCATCGTTAATCCAAAAACTTAGGTTTTATCTAAAGACCAACTTCATTAAGTATAGCAATATGGTTAACCGTGACATCTGAGCTACTTCATACTTCTTACTAATTTTCTTCGATTCTTATTTTAATCTAACGTAGCTGTTAGTATTATCGTTTTCAATAACCTGCTTTCCTAGTTTCCCCCTATTGTGGTAACTTTGTGAATAATTGAAGCAATAAACAACTGTTAACAGTCTTAGGTTTGCCCATTACGTATTACTGAACTTCCTGTCTCGACAACGATCGTCACTGACTATTTCTTGGAACATTAGGATGGAACTTGCACTGAAGATATAAATCGTGGCACTATTAATAGAAATGGTTACCTTACGACCTATATCCCTATCATCGACATTCCGTCTGCTGTCTGGAAGGTCATAATATCTGAGTTTGATGTTTTGCGAAACAATATCAACTTTAAATCCCTTATATCAGCTCAGTTACTTTGGTACTGTTTTTGTGATTTAAATATTGATCTTACGAGTAAAGTATCATTTCAGTCACCTCAGTGATTCCACCATTCAGTTTTATCATCAATAAGCAGATAACTAAGTTGTGACTATGATTGAGTGAAGTGTCAAAATGATTGTCTTATATTTAGGAAACAAATTATGTTATCATACACTGAAATACAGTTTCATTGGTCTTCACTATCCATAGGCTCTGAAAATACACCTAGTTCCTGCTCTAGTTCTAGTATGGCTTGCTCAATTTCATAGTTCTTGCCAACCAAACCGACCCACGATTCTTCCAGTTCTTTGAGATGTCTTCCGGCAGCTGTTTGCTCTTGTTTACGACGCCAGTTTATTTCCTGGATTTTTCGCCTTTTAAAACGTGAAATAAAAATCGAATTGAGGGGAATGAGCAAGATCGATAGAGGAATGCATTGAATAACAGCCCACCACAAAAAACAGACTTTCCAAACGTGAACTGAGTGCAGAACTTCGACGAAAATCATGATGTAAACAACTTGTACTGTGAGAAAAGTCCAACTGTTATATCTTATTTAGTGCATCTATATGAAAAGCATTCTCGTCTAAGGTAACATCCTATTTTAAACAGACACTCGTAAAATTTTAATATAACTGCTGTATATTAACTACCATTTCACTGATTTTAGTTCAAAAAACCAAAATCCAAAGAGATGTATAGGGGACTTTTAATGTCCTACAAATCAGGTGCAACCTTTATCAAGACTTCTGAAAAAAATAGTGCGTGACCATGTGGTTATACTGCTTTTCGGATTTCCCAAAGCACATTAACCTCTGCAGCGCATTCATATAAAAAAAGATAACAAGTTTCCATCAAAATACGGGTTGAACACACCCACTTTTAACTGTTGTATTCCTTGCTTCATCTGTAGCTTAAGCTACCCAGCGCTATCGTCTTCCCAAATCCTGACCTTTTGACAAGCGT